TACTATTAAAACTCCTAAATAAAGAACTATTTATATTTATAAAATCGAGATAAATAATAAATAGGTAATAATTTAAATAAAGATAATTTTATTTATAAAAAATTATTTTTTTTGATCTATAGTATTGAGTGAAACAATTATATATCATTATACTTACCATTATTCTAATACATATTCAATAATCTGAGTAGACAACCTGTAGCTTCAAGCTTTTGTTCAAATATTTTATTTGTAAGGTAAAGTAGTATTGTTAACCATAAAAAAAATAGTGTAAGAAAAAAATCATAAGAACTTAAAATAGAATTAAATGAGAAACAAATAGACGAATGAATTAAGCAAATAGATAAACAAAGGAATGAATAAAAGAATAAATAAATAATAAAACAAATACAAAATATTAAAAACTTACTCAACAATTTGATTAGTACTGAAATTATGTTTTCTTAATTTATACCGGACATATACCTCTACATGAAAATTCGAATCATAAAAATTTTAATTTGCATGGCTACCAAGAGATAACCTATTATGAAAGGTAAATATTTATAAATATATGTGTGTATATAATATTAAAAAAAAAAAATAAAACAAAAGAAAAATACTTATCTTTTATTCTGTTTCTTTTTATTAGAGAAAATTAATTATTTTTTTTCTTGATAGATGATCATTAACTATTTATTTTATATATCAAGAACTTAAAAAAAATTAATTTTTTTGTATTACATTAATTATTTTTTCAAATTATTTTTATATTATTTTATATATATAATAAGTGATATAGATGATAATTTGTTAGAGATAGAAGATGAAATGGAATATCCAGTTATCGTTATTGATAACAATCCAGTTATTAAAGAAACACTTATAAATATGATGAGGAAATATTAATTCAGAAAAAAAGAGAAAAAATTATCTCCAGTTCATCCATCAAATGTTATTTGGCAATATTTCAAAAAAATATTTGATGACGATGATATTTCATACAAATATAAAATGTAATTATTGCAATCAAAAATATAGTGTAAAATGTTTTACAACAACTCTTAATAACCATTTCAAAAAAAAAATGAGAAAATTTAACCAGGAAAAATAGGATCAATTGAAGTAGCATTTACAAATGTTCAATTATTATAAGGAGAAGACTATTTAATTCATCAAATGATCTTGTTAACTGGATAATTGTAGATTTACCATTTAGAACTGTAAATAGTTTATCTTTTCATAAATTTATTATTGGTATTAATTTTAAGTTTCAAATTTCTTCATGACAAACTCTTTGCAAAAAAATTGATAATAAATATACACAATATAAAAGTAACATTATTAAAATGTTTCAGATAAATTTATTTTTTTATTGTCAAGAATAATTAATTACTTTAAATTTAATTGTTATATTATTTAATTAATTAGGGAAATAATTCAAAACTTACTTTTATATCTGATATGTAGACTTCAGATACTGGTACTCCTTATATAGTTCTAACTACACATTGGATTAATAATAAATGGAATTTGAAACATGCAATAATAGCATTTCAAAGGTTTTCTAATCCACATACAAGATTACAAATTGAAAAAGCTACTTTCAAAATTCTTCAAGAATTTTCAATTGTATCTAATGCTTTATCAATTACAATTGACAATGGATCTAATTAAGTTACAACTATGACAAAACTTACAACTACTCTTCTAGATCAATTTCAAATACCTTTTTATGTAATTAGATGTGGAACACATACAATTGTTCTTGTAGTAAATGCTGACTTAGGAAAATTTAAACCTATTATTGAAAAGATACAAGAATTTATTATAGAAATACAAAAATCTCCAAAAAAAGAACAAGAATTATTTTCATTAGTAAAAAAATTAAATCTTAAATACAGAAAATTAATTAGAAATGTTAAAACAAGATGGAATAGTACTTATTCTATGTTAGAAGTTTTTCTTTCAAATAAGACAATAATTATTTCAACAATAACAATGAATAATAATTTTATAAAATTGGATTTAAATAAAAATAAATAAAAAGAAATTCAATATTTTTGTGATTTCTTGAAACCTTTTTTTAATTTTACTGAAGTAATGTCTAGTAGTGAATATTCAACTCTTGAAACATTATTTCTTTTATTGAATCATTTAAAGGATCATTTAACAATTACACAAAATAATTTAGTAACACCATCATGAATTATAAATATTATTGAAGCAATAATTAACAAATTTAATTTTTTATCTGAGAAGTTTTATAATCCAACAGCAAATTTGGTATTAATTCTAGATCCTCGATATAAAACACAAATTTTACCAAACGAAATTGAAGTAGATACTATTAAAAAATTACTTTCTAATAAGTTTAATACTTATAAAATAAGAGAAGAATCAGTTGAAACTGAAGTTAATAATGAAAAAAACTTAGAAAATAAAAGGAATGCATCAGGAATAATGGAACAAATGCTTCAAAAAAGAAAAAATCCTATAATTTATGATCATTTGATGAAGTTGATGAATATTTATCAATACAAATAGAACCAACAAATATTAATCCTTGTAAGTGGTGGAAAAATCATTAATTACAATATCCTATATTATCAAAAATTGCAAAAGATTATATGTGTATACCTGCTACATCTGTTCCAAGTGAACAGGCTTTTTTTAAATCTGGTGAGTTAATTAATAAACATAGAAATAGATTAGGTGATCAAGCTATTGGAGCATATATGTATTTAAATTCTTGGTTAAAATTAAGAAATAATTAATTTTAATATTATAAAATTAATAATTAATATAATTAATACTTAATATAATTAATAATTAATATAATTAATAAGTAATACAATTAATAAATAATATAATTAATAAATAATAAATTTTCTTATTAAATAAAGTATTAATAAATAAATAACAAAATATTTCACTATGAAAAATTTTTGTATATAAAATATTTTTGACTTTGTTTGTAATTTATACAGAATAAAGAGATTTTCTACTAAAATATTTCTATGATAGATAGAAAGGCTTCGTTCTTAGCTACAAGTTGATATGTATTTTATCTCTGTAGCAACAATATTCATCGAGTTATTACAGTTTAAAAATCAAAATATCAATGAAAAATCTTTAACAAATTTTCTGGAGATTTTTCAGATATTTCTTAATGGATATCGATATTACAGAGATGAAATACATATCAACTTGTAGCTAAGAACAAGATCTTTCTATCTATTATAGAAATATCTTAGTAAAAAATCGCTTCATGCTTCATAAATCACGAGTGAATTCAAAAAAAATAATTTTTATATATAAAAATTTTTGAAAATTCTGTCAGCTCCATCAACCCCATCAGCTTCAATCTCAAGCCGATGGGGCCGATGAGGTCAAATCGAACTTATAAATCCCATCAACTCCATTCGACCCCATCGACTTTGATGGCTTGGTCCAGTTCAGTTTGACTTGTACCTTCAAGTCGATTAAGTTTGGTTTGGTTCAGCTTGACTTGCCAACGGTTTGGCTTGACTTTGGCCAAAAGTTGGACCGAACTGGACCGTTAACAACACTAGAATAGATGAACGGATGGATGGGTTAAATGGATAAACAAATAGATGAACAGGATTTTTAGTAGATAGATGGATAGGTAAACGAATAGAAGATGATAGATGAACAAGATTTTTAGTAGATGAGCGGATAGATGGATTAAATGAGTAAGCGAATAGATAAACGGATGGATGGATTGGTAATCGAATAGATGGATGATAGATGAACAGGATTTTTATTAATGAATATTTTTATATTTTACATTTTTACATTTTATATCTTTTTTGTTTTTATTATTTTTTATTTAATAAAAAGATTAAAGAATAAATAATTAATTAATTAATATAAAAAAAAAAATAAAGTATAACGTAAATAATTACATGATATACATGATATACATGATATACATGATATACATGATAAAATGTAAATGATGACATGTGATATAGTTCGATCCCATCGGTCCCATTGACCCCAATCGACTTGGCAGCCTTCAAGTCAAGTTAAACTGCGATTTGATCAACTTGAAGCCAAACCGACAACTTGAAACCTTCAAGTCAAACCGGTTCCGCCCCATCAGTTCGGTTCAGTCCGGTTCGGCGCCAAGTAATAATTGCATGTGAATGTCCTTCTCTGTTTATCTATTATCTGAAGTAATAAATAGGAATTGGCTACAACATTACCTTTGCGATGATAAGATCTGCATATAAGATTTTTTTATTAGTCAATTTAAGAGAGACCGGACATTGGCATCTTTGGCATAGTAAGATTTGATAAAGATAAAACCATAGGAATTTAAATAGTATTATCAAATTTGGCAGAAAGTCATTTGTTGTTAACAAACATATTGGATTTAAACAAGACATTCCCAAGTACTTATCTAGTGATAATTCAATAGAAGAGAAACTTCAAGAAATAGAAAAAGGGATAAATAAAATTACCAAGATGGTTTGAAAGACAAGAGAAGTTAACACTAAAAATAAGAAATGAACAAATAAAGTTAGAAAATAACCAAATGAAGTTTGAACAAATTAGAAATTATAATAGAATATAAACAAGAAAAATCTAGTTTTATTAATTTTATATTATTATTTTTTATCTTAATTCTTATGTTAATGTATACTTATGATGATAATTTTTTTTATGCAAAATTTAAACTGTAAATCATGTGAATTTGCCCGCATATATTAGTAACTTGTGACGTCGCTACCGTTTAAGGGATAATATACATTTAAATTTCGAATTTATACATTTTTAATAACATTTTAGCATTTTAATAAAATTTGATGATTATTTAGAGAGAAATTTTTACCAAGATTTTAATAATAAATAAATAAAAATAAACAAATATACAAAAAATAAATACATCCAACAAAAAAAAAATAAACTTAATATCAAACTTGATAATAAGCTCGAGAATCTTAAAGTTTGATAAAGATAATATAATAACAATAATAATAATCAGCTAAATATTAAGCTTGATATGAGGTTGAATACACGGCACCACCATGACCAGTCCAATTGGTATGAACAAAAGTATCTTTTGGATGTGTTTCATCAGTACATTCATCAAGATATTGGAAAGTGTGAGCACCGAAATAATCTCTCATAGCTTGAAGTAAATTAGCAGGTAATTTTTCATGTCTATAACCATCATAAAATGATAATGCAGTTGATAATGCTGGAGTGGGGATTCCAAGTAATACAGAATTGGAAACAATTTGACGCCAAGAACCTTGAGCTTTGTCAATAGCATTTTTGAAAAATGGATCAAAAAGTAAATTCTCAAGATTTGGATTATTGGTATAAGCATTTTTGATATCACCAAGGAATGCACTATATAAATTTAAAATTTAATATAAATTTAATATAGAGTTAATATCTAAAGATAAAGTTGATATATATATATATATATATATAAAGTTGATATAAATTTAGAAATATATTTTTACCTGCGAATAATACAACCACCTCGCCACATTAAAGCAATTCCGGCATTATTCAAATTCCATTTATTATCTTTAGCAGCTTCACGCATAAGCATGAAACCTTGAGCATATGAAATCAATTTTGCGGCATATAATGCTTGCCCCAATTGTTCAATAAAAACTTTCTTGTCACCGGTGTATTTAGAGCTATTAGGACCTTTTAAGATTTTACTAGCATTAACACGTTCATTCTTCAAAGCCGAGAGTGCACGAGCAAAAACTGCTTCACCTATAAGTGTAACGGGCATACCAAGATCAAGTGAAGATATAGCTGTCCATTTTCCGGTTCCTTTCTATATCATGTGTATGTATCGTAAGTGTGTGTGTGTGTGTGTAAATATATTAGATGTGTGCGCGTGTGTAAACAACAAAATATAAAATTATTTAAAAATTGAGATCTACCTGACCAGCGGTATCCTTAATTTTTAATACCAAAGGGTTACCATCCACATCCTTATATCTTACAATATTTTTAGTTATTTCAATCAAGAATGAATCAAGTTCTTTCTTATTCCATTCCTCAAAAACATCACCAATTTCATCGTGTGTAAGGTCAAGTGCTTCAGTTAATAAATGATAGGCTTCACAAATGAGTTGCATATCTCCATATTCAATACCATTATGAACCATTTTGACATAATGTCCTGAACCGGTTTCACCGACCCAATCACAACAAGGTTCTCCATTAACTTTGGCTGCAATGGATTGAAAAATTGGACGCACGTGTTCCCTATTTACATATAATTTTTTAAAAAAAGATAATGTTTAAGATAATGGTTATTAAGAATAATGTTAAGGATAATGTTAAAGATAATGTTTCAAGATAGTATTACCACGCAGCGGGGGTACCACCAGGCATAAGAGAAGGACCATAACGAGCACCATCTTCTCCTCCAGAAACACCGCATCCAATGAACATAAAACCTTTTCCTTCCAAATAATTACATCTTCTAATAGTATCAGGAAAATGTGAATTTCCACCATCAATAATAATATCATTTTGATCTAAATGGGGAATAATTTGTTCAATAAAATCATCAACGGCAGAACCTGCTTTGACCAAAAGCATAATTTTTCTTGGTCGTTTAAGGTTACGAACTAAATCTTCAATTGAATGAGCACCGATTATATTTGTGCCTAAAACAATTATTAAATATTATAAATATTATAATAAAATAAAATATTATTATAAAATTAAATATTGTTATAAAATTAAATATTATTATAAAATTAAAAATTATTAATTTTTAAAATAAAATAATATATTAATTAATCAAAAGAAAACATTATCAATTGCTTTAAAATAACTTTCAATACTCTTAATAGAAAGAAATTTAATTACCTTTAGCTTCATTAGCCAAGAAATGTTCTACTTTAGATACAGTTCTATTATAAGCAACTACAGTATAACCATGATCGTTAATGTTGAGAATAAGATTTTGACCCTAAATTAATTATGAAATAAAATTCTGATCAATAAATGATTTTTTTTTATCCAACAATTTAAAAAATATTTGATTTAATCAATTTAAAATTTTATATTCACCATAACAGCGAGGCCGATAAGCCCAAAGTCTCCACTATATCACAGAAGAATTAAGAAAAATCAAAGCAAACAATAATCAATACATAATAGTAATGTTGAAATGTAAGAATGCCAATGCTGTCATAACTTTTATGAAAAAGAAAAGAAAAAAAAATAATAATAATTTACCGAGGTTCAGAACCAGACATAATATTTGTAAGAGATAAAGAAATTGATAAGAATTAAGAGAATAAATCAAAAAAATGAAAAGATCGGATTTTTTTGGATTTAAAAAATTTTCGACTCATTTTAAATATGATTACTGGTTCAAAAAAGGCATAATACTAGCTTAAATTAAGCTATAAAAATAAATATGCAAAAGAATTTATTGGGAATAATGTCAAGAATATCAAATTGATCGAGTTCCCCATTTTATTTTATTAATTAATCATCAAACACAACAAGGAGAATAATTTAATTTCTTAGTTTCCTTTTATTTATTGTATTTTCTTTTAATTACAAGAAGGTAAAACCAGGCAAATAATTCTTTCTTTCCCCTGGAAACATTATCAAAAATTAAAATGTTATAAATTTTATTGAGATTAAAAAAAAAGGTTATCAAGTTAAATTATGTGTTTGACAATCTCAAATTAATGTATCAAAATTTTATTATTTTTATCATTTAACATATTTTAATTAATTTAATAAATATATTTATATACATATATATAATATTTTAATATATCAAATTTATAATTTTATTAATTTTATAGTTTTTTTTTTTTCAAATAATGTATTCTGTACCCCCAGATATTTTACATAAAAAAAAATTATAGTTTTTGTGATGCAGTATCCGAGTATTTTAAATTCAAAGAGGGTATTCTGCATGGTGGGTTGGGTAACTATGGTCAATAAATTATAATATATAGTTTTTTTATTTTATTTTATTATTAATTATGGATTCGATTCTTCCTCTATCCAGGCATTTTCGTCATCATCAAACGTATAAACCTAAAATATATATTTGATATATTTGATATATTTGATATATTTTATTTTTTTTATTTTATTTTTTTTTTTGTTCCAATTTTTTTTAAAATATTTATTGTATTGTAAAAACTTTTTCATACTTACCATTCTTTTTGATGGAAATATTCCATATTCAAATCTTTTAATCTCACTAACTTTGAACACCAAAATGCAAAAATTTTCAAATGCAAGATCGTGTAAAACTTTCTCAGGAGAATTATTATTATTATTATTATTATTATTATTATTATTATTATTATTCTTATTCTTATTCAACCCGGAATAATTATTTAATTCATTTAACATTGAATCTAATTTCAAACATTTAAATGCATCTTTATCACTCTTGGGAATTTCTCCTGATGGTGGCCACGTAAAGATTGCTCGGGTTTGTGGTGAAAGTGAATTCCAATATTGACTTCGAATTGATTCCCAATACTCTCGTGGTGGGGTTTCATCAAAAATGATTTTGGGAGCTGGAAATCTGGTTATCTTTTTGGGTGATGATGTGATGTAAAATCGACCTGATAAACTGTAAATTTCTTGGGTTGTTTGCATATGCCTAAATTATTATTATTATTATTATTATTATTATTATTATTATTATTATTATTATTATTATTATTATTATTATTATTAT